TTTTTTATTTTGTTGAGAGTTGGGGCATGAATTTAAATTATCTACTAAAAAACGTAAAATCTCCTTTTTCTCCTTCTTATGAAAAATCAGAACTCAAAAAATGAGTTCAGATAATGGGCCAAACCAATCCAGAACAGGCCTGGTGTCCATAATTTAAGTCCAAGGCAGATGTGGGCTTAATAAGGACACCATTTTTATTTTTATTTTTTTGGAAGTTCCAATTGAAAAACCCTCGACGAAGAAGAAACAGCAGCAGCAGCAGCAGCAGGAGGCCGCAGCTTAATAGATGCCCCATTCACAAAACCCTCCAAATCCTTCCCTCCTCGCTTTCAAGCCTCGCCAAGTTCTGCTCTCCTCCCACTCTGCCATGGACAAGACTCAGAAACAAACTCTCAAACCCCATCAAAGGACTCTTCTCCTTCAATCCATCGCTCTCTTTCTCCAACAAAATGCCTTCTCTAAAACCCTCAAGAAGTTCCGAGCCGAAGCACAAATTCAGGTACCCTGCTTATGATTTTTTTTTTTTTTGTATATTCCTTTATGTCATCTATTTTCATTCATGTTTTTGGTCCCTTCCCCTCCCATTCTTTATCTCCAAGCTCCCTCCTTTGTGATATTTAGAAGGGTCTTCAATATTAATGTCCTTGTTCGTTTCACAAATTATTTGGGTTGCTATCTTTTTTTTCTTTCATATATTTTTCCATATGCTCTTTTCCATGCTACATCTCCTGAAGTCCAACTGAATTCTTTGTTTCTTTTCTATTGGGTAAAGGAGGATGGTTTGAAAGGGTCAACTCCGAATTTGGAGGAATTGTTCCACAAGTATTCAGAAATATGGTATGATGATAATTTATTTTCTTCTTGGTTATTGGAACTAAGCCTTTGCTTGTGAAGACTTGTCCATGATATATTGTTCACCTCTAGAGTTTAAACTTAAGGTTTTTAGTCTCATTTTGCTTAACCCTGTAAATTATGCAGTGATCATGCCGTGACAAATTCCAATGGAGAGAAGGTTGAAGGTATGCTTTAAGTTATATAAAATTATGTTTTCTATTAAGTAGCATTGTGGTGCTCGAAAATATGAAATGCTAATGCATTCAATTTTGATTTTACTGTGATTCTAAACCTTTTTGACTTCCAGAGGTGCAGGTGGATGGTGATTCTAAGAAAAAGAAAAAGAGGAGTAAGGAGAGTGATGGTCATCTTACAGTCACTAAATCTGACGCAGCTAATAAATCTGCCACTGATGTTGGAGGTGGGTCACAGTTGGAAGCTTCCAAAAAGAAACATAAGAACAAAACGAAGAAAGGGGAGGTTGTTGAAAATTTGGAGCATCATCCTTCAGAATCACTGCCTGAGGAAACTGAAAAGAATTCTAAACAGGTGGTGTCTTCAGAGTGCAATGAAGTGACTGATGCGGAGACAGAAAATAGAACAAAGGATAAAAAGACAAAGAAAAACAAGACTGATGAGCAGCATGACTCTGAGAACAAACCAGATTCTGCCATTCCATTGGAAGACAAGGATGCCAAGTCCAAAAAAAGGAAGAAAGAGAAGGATGATTCTGCCCATGACTATAAGACTTCAAATGAGGATGTGCCTCATAAGGAGAGTAAAGGTTCAAAGAAAAGGAAGCAAACAGACTCTGAAGTTAATGATTCTCTGCTTGTTGATGGAAAAGCAGTAGTAGAATCGAAACGCAGAAAGAAAGAAGGTTTGGAGGATGCTGAGGAAACCAAGCAGCCTGTTACAGCTGACAAGCGTGCTGATGAAGAAAGTGAGGAAAATGGGAAGGATTCTGCCATGAAAAAGAATGTGAATGGGCAAAGTAATGGTTCAGCTCAGGTAAGGTTCTATCATACTTTGAGGATCATAAGGATAATGATGGCTGTATTATTGTGTGTACGTTTTACCAAGGAATTGACATCTTGGTACCTTGTTGTAGCCAAAGAAGCCATTCCAAAGGGTGAATGTTGATGAGGTAGTGTTTATTGATAAAAGGCTTGAAGACAACTCCTACTGGGCAAAGGTTGGCTCTCTTTCTGTTCCGTTTATTCTTGTCCCTGCCACAAACTTGTTCATTATTTTTCTGTATTATAGTTTTTTCACCTTCAAAGCTCTTTGCAGGATGGTGCGGACACTGGTTACGGAGCAAAAGCAGAAGAGGTCCTTGGGCAAGTGCGAGGAAGGTATGTCTATATCTTTAATTATACATGTGTGTATCTGGATATATATATATTAAACAGTAAACGAAAGTTGGATCAAAAAGTCATGTAAATTCATAAGTGTAGAAAATTATTGTGCATTTTAAGATGGCAAATTCGCACCTACCAAGTTGATGAAATTTAGCTATCTCCTTACTGTTGTCCACTCATTAGCACTGTAATTTTGTTTGTGGTGAATGGGTTTCAGCTTTCCTAATTTCTTATATATTGAGTGCTTATTGTGTGAAGGTCATCATTAGAGTAAACATTGGCGATAAATAACTTAAACTAAGCTATTGGTTTCTTAAATGAATCCAAACATCTGGAGGGGGTTTCATCCCCCAGTGGTAATTTGGGTAATGGTGGTTTGATGTCTAGGTTGTATTTTTAATTTCTGTTTTCATTTACGTTTTTCTTGGATAAAGTTCAGGTTTTAGATAAACAGTATATGGTTGGTTTCTTAGTAACATGGACATGCTTAAACAAAATGGCATGTAAGAATACAATCAGAATCAAAATGATATATACGTGTTTGAAAACTTTTAACATTGTAGTTTTTTGAGCTTGTTTCTCACCTTAAACTTTTGCAGGGATTTTCGGCATGAAAAGACAAAGAAGAAACGTGGAAGTTACAGAGGAGGACAGATTGATCTCCAGTCTCACTCGGTAAAATTCAACTATTCTGATGATGAATGACTGCCATTTTTTGGGGATCATTATGGTAACTCCTGCATTATTTCAACTCACATCTTAATTAATTCAATGCTTTGAAAAGTTTTGTAACAAGTATTGCCTGATTCTCTCCCTTTATTACCTTGGATAGATATGAGGATGTAACAAGATGTGTTTTGTACCAATGGTCCAAAAACAACAGTGTCAAGTTTTGTTTTATTTCGATCAATTTGTCATAGGTTCGAAGTGGCTAGAAGACACAATCACTGCTCAGTTATCTTCTGTTAAGAACTGTTTGGTGTGGACCTTGTGGTCAGATTTGTTATTGGTATGGATTGTGTCAGGTGGCTGGTAATATGCAGTTGGAGATCCCTGGAAATGGGTTGAAACCTGCAACTGTTTTTGGTACTATTTTCTGATTAATTGAGCTTCTAAACAATTTGATCTTGTCAAATTACTCCAAAATCTAGCATCTGATCACTGAAATCAATTCGAATTATGATGCCATTAACTCCATTTGGTTTTGAAATGAATAACTGAAAATTAATGAAACACTTATATCGGTATAAGTTGATATTAACTCAGCTACCAGTGTAGGCCATCTTTAGTTTTGCAGTCTTCACGTGCATGCAAAAAGTTAAGAGCAAAATCTATTTTAAACCATAAAGTCGTACACTGAAGTCGAGGCTTAAGGTTTTTTTAATTTGTGCTTAGTGTATTTATTATATTTTTTTATGATTAATTTGTATAAAAATTTATATAAGTAAATTTTATTTTTAATGCCAATGTTGTGTAACAATCTAATAAGATGTTTAACAAAATTAAAATTAATTTTTTTATATATAAATTAATGATAAAAGAAGTTTACCTCTAACTTGTTAGGACATAAATTAAAATTTTTTTTGTCAATAACTTAAATAATTGAATGGTTATTTACTTTCAACGGAAGTAATAAATTTTGATTTTGAATTGTAAAGTGAGATAAAAGATGAGAGATGGTTGCCTCACATTGTATAATCAAGATATAAAAAAAATCTTTAAATCTATACTTGATGATACAATATTTAATAATGTTATATCAATCATTGAATTAAGAAATTTATAAATCTTATACACTCTCATCTCTTGAAATGAAGATTGCTCGTTTTAGTTCTCTCCCAACTCCCAAGAATTACCCAGAACAAAATATAACCGTTAGAGATCTTTTAAGTTTTGAATGAATGAACCGAACCCAACCCAATAATATTTCTATTATACAAGGAATTAATAGCATAAAAGGTTTGTTTAATTTGTGTTTTAAAGATATAAATTAAAAGTGTAATAAATATATTTTTTTAATTAATTTACATAAAAATTATAAAAATTAATATATATTTTAACATTTTTTACATATTTATAATTTTA